TGATGGTTAGAGCTCAGGAGAAAATGGGAGTTACTGCTTGATGAACTAGGGTATCATGTTTTGCAAGATGAAAAGAGGTATGGAGCTGGATCATAGTGATTGTTGCATACCATATGGATGAATTTAATACGACTGTACACTTAAAATGATAAATTACATGTTATGTGCATTTCACTATAATTAAATTAGAAAAAAATCTCTAAGCATCCAGGCTTTAAAGTTTTATTTAGATTATTTTATAGTACACCAAGTGAATTGTAAATGGATTCACTATATACCTAATACTTTTGTGTCACAGAAAAATTAGGAATGGAAGTAGATGCTTAGCAAAGTTCTTGAACTCTGAAGCAGAAGAAAATTGGAAGAAATTTTTATGACTGTATTAAAAAAACTCTGTGACAAAATATTTTTATATAGGAAAGACAAACAGCTAATATTATCCTTATTATATAGTTAATATGTACGACAGGAATGAAATTGAAATGTATAGATTCAAGTTGGTATGAGAATTTAGTTCATGATAGTAGGGACATTCTAAATCTGTGAGGTAAAAATAGAATATTCAGTATGTGTTAAAAGAGTTGGCCAAACATTCAGCACCAAAAGCTAAAGGTCTGCTTCACTTTCTAAACTAAAAAAAATTCAGATGGATAAAGTATTTCAATTGGAATCTCTTGAGAAGCAGAATTGTGTTGTAGGTAAGAGTGTACACTCTGGAGTTAGATAAGCTGAGTTTGCCTGCCACTTCTGCCCGTCACTCAGTAACTGGACGACCTTGGGTAAGTTGCATAATCACTTTGCCTCAGTTTCATAAAATGGGATAATGATAGTACCAGCCTTACAAGATTGTTTTAGGGATTAAATGAGTTAATATGTGTGAAATGCTTGGTACTATGCCTGGTACATACAAATGCTATTTAAATGTCACTGCTGTGGTTACCATCATCATCGTCATCATAAAAAAAAAATGAAATCAGCCAGATGTGGCACATGCTTGTGACCCTAATTACTCCCAGATACCAGGGAGACTGAGGCAGGATGCCTAAAGTTCAAGGTTATTCTCAGCAACTTAGCAAGACCGTTTCTCAAAATAAAATTTTTACAAGGGCTGAGATTTACCTCAGTGAATGAGTACTTGCAAGGCCCTAGACTCAGTTCCCAACACACACACGCAGAGGAAATAGTAATAACATAATAACAACAGATAATAGGAGGGAAGAAACCCGGCTAAGTAAATCAAGGGTAAAGTATGATAAGTATTTTATAAGCTTAGAGGAAGACACAGCATGTATTGTTGTGACACAAAAATCATATTTTACTAAGGCAGAGACCAAGGGGTTGGGTATTTAAAATTTCTTCTCATGGGGAAATCCTGATTTCTGCCCAGTGAGTGAGGTGCTAGTAGGGGTCACCAGCCTCAGAACAGACATGTTGTGATGAAGACATCTTTTACTTATTGCGTCCTGGGCTGCAACCAGAAGAGGAGTACTGGATCCAGGGGAATGCCTGCAGACGTTATTTTGATGTGTGTAAGTGTTTTCTTTAGTTACAACTGTTGTATTGGTTTCCTAGGGCCGAAACAAATTACTGCAAACTTGATACCTTAAAACAACAAGTTTTTCTTTTCTTTCAGTTTTGGAGGCCAAAAATCCAAGTGCTGACTTACCGTGGTCCCCTAAAGCCTGTAGAGAAAGCATCTTTCCTTACCTTTCCCACCTTCTAGTGGTCTCTGGCACTCCTTGGCTTGTGTAGCATTATAACTCCATCTTATCTGGGTGTCTCTTGTGTGTTTTCTTCTTGCATGAAGAAGCCACTGGAATGGCTTCTAGGCCTCCCTGAATTTAGGGCCCTCTGTAGTCCAGCATGACTCTACCCTAACTTATTATATCTGCAGAGACCCTATTTTGAAAGAAAGCCACATTTTGAGGTTTTGGGTGGACAAGAATTTTGGGAAGACATAAGCAGTCTGTCACGACTTTCATGCCCCCTTTTGAGAAGAAAGCAGCTGTAGGCCTAGTTTAGAGAACAGTGGTACTGACAGAAGTAGGCGAGCGAATCCAGCACCTCAGTGGAAGCTGTCCGTTGCAGCAGAGGTGACATAACAGAGGTACACAAGGGAAGCCCGGGTGTTTAGAATGAGTATTATGATACCATAGGGATGGTTTTGCTCTTTGCTCTTTTGTTTTCCATGACGTTAACTACTGTCTTGGTGTCCATGTGTTTGTCTTTGTAAATCTCTTGTCTCAAATCGTGATCTTTCCTGCCCTCTCTCTGCTGTAATTCTGGACATAGTTACTAATCCTTGTGCTTGCCAAATCCAGTTGTGCTCTCCTGCAGATGTCCTCTCTTTCCTTGGTTTCCGTGACATCACCATCCCCTCTTTCTGGCCACTCCTTTTTGTCCCAATAGTGGATTCCATTTATTTGCACTCCTCTCAAATGTCGTGTTCCTTAAGATTCAGTCTGTATCCTTATTACCAATAGTCCCTAGGTAACATCTGCTGTGGCCATAAATGATTCTCATCATTTATTCTTTCCATATAGAACTCTTTTCTAAGTCCAAATCCAGACCCTGGCATACAGAGAGGGACTAACAGTACAAACCGAGTATCCATCCCTTCCCATCACCTATCACTTAGGGTATCTGCATATGAACTGGGAGGAGGAAATCCTGTCTCTGTTGTACGTATAGCTCCTTTCCCCCTCTCTCTCCAGAAAGACTTTGCCTCCCTAAACTTCTCTTCACCCCCAAGTGGCACTCCAGCAAGCGCACAGGCATGTACATATCACCAAGTTTTTCCTCTCCTGGGAATATTCCAAAAAGAATCCAAAGTCTTCATACTTTAGTGACACATACATACCCATGTTTATAGCAGCACAGTTCACAATAGCTGGGCTTGTGAAACAGCCCAAATCCCAATCAGTTCGTCAAAAAAGAAAATGTGGTGTATATATAAATCGAGCTTTACCCAACCATAAGAATGAATTCATTTAAAAAAAAAAGAATGAATTCATGTCATTCATAAGAAAATGGATGGATCTTGAGCCTATAATGTTAAATGAAATATGTCAGCACAAAATGTTAAACATCACATAATTCCTCTTGCATGACAAGCCCAAAATATAAATGAAGAATAGAGAAAAAATGGTAAGAAACCGGGAGATAAACTGTTTTGTAATTGAGGGATGGGATCAGATGGCAAGGGAAGGATAAAGGAAGAAAGGAGTAAAAAATGACCAAGATATGATCTACATATGTACCAATTCCAAAAAAGGAAATGTAAATATTAATGTATCACAAACATATATCAATATGTATCACAAACATATGAAAGAGGGAAAAAGAAAAAGGTTTTCTTTTTCAAATGCCAGGAGTACAGCATTGAATTCTTAGTGGCAAAGATGGAAAGCTTTCTCTCCCCCATTGTTTCCTCAATTTGACTAAATCCCAGAAGCAGTAGTGTTTTTACTAAGTCAGTGTATTTCTTTTGTACGTGGTAGTAGCTATTTCAATAGACCATCCCCTTTCAAAACAAGTTGAAATGCTTTACAGAATGACCATTTCAAACAAGCAATATACCTTCATACTGTTTCTTTTTAAATTTTTAAAAAATTCTGTTTATTGATACAATTTAGATATGCATAACGATCACATTCATCATAGAAAATTTGTACTTGTGTGTGATAGATCTTAGTTCCCCGTTTTGTTTTTCTCCATTCCCATCCTGTCTCTTCAACCTCAGTTTCCTTCCTTATTTACAAAGTTTTGTTTCCATTTTATTGTTTTTTTCTTCTTCATACTGTTTCTTCTGCATTGTTACTTTCAGACTTAAAGCCACAAATAGATATGTAATATGAATTTTGTTACTTTTAGGTATAATACGTGGAATGGTATTTGGAGTTTACAGGCAGAGATAATGCATTACGTTCAAACAAAAAAAGAAGAAGCACAATGGAATGTTCTGACTGCTTTTGTTATGTATATAATTAGGACCATAAATCTAGGCTCACATTCTTGGGATTTTTTTTTTTTTTTTCTTCTTCTTCTTTTTTCTTTTTGTGGCCCGGGAGTGCTAGGAATCAAACTCTGGGCCTTGTGCATGCTAAGCACAAATTCTGCCACTGAGCCATACCTCAGCTCCTGAGCTCACATTCCTGAAAGTGTTTGCGTTTGTTCTCAAGGAGCCTGGATTCCTTGGCCTCACCTCATGGGTGGATGAATGTTCTATGAGGAGGCAGGCAAAGTGTCACAGAGGCAGCTTTTCTCTTAGCAGTACTTCCTGAAGAATGTATTGAGTCAGTGCTGTGTGCCAGACACTATGTTAGACACTGGTGATACAAGGTGATGTCATGCAGTCCTCTCCCTGAAGTATAAATAATTTTAAAAACAAAAGACAGTAGGAAACAGGGACCCTTTGCAAATGGGAAGGGAGACTAGAAATGGAGGGAGCAGAGAGGGTGAAGGAAGAGGAATAAAAAGAATGAAGGTCTGTTAAGGACCTGGTTCAATGTACACATTATGTACTGCAAACATCTGCTATAAATAGGTAGATTAAAAAAGAACCCACACAGCAGCCTTAGCAGAGACATGGAGAGGGAGAGGTAGTCAGTGTGCAGTTCTAGCAGTTCTAGAGAGTCTTTCAGGATGGCGTGCTTTTTATTTTATTCGTTGTCCAGGATTTTTCCCCTTGTCTCTTTCTTCTTTTTTTTTTTTTAAACTGGGAATTGAGCTCAGGGCCTTCATACTAAGCCACAGCTTCAGCCTTTTTAAAATTTTTAAATTTTAGGTAGAGTCTTGCTAAGTTGCCCAGAGTAGCCTCAAACCTGCAGTTCTCCTGCCTCAGCATCCTAGAGAGCTGGGTGTGTACCATCAAGCCAAACCTAGGATTCTGCATTTCTGAGAAGCTTCTAGAAGATACCATTGCTAGGGGTTCAAAGGTACCTCTTTGTTTTTTGTGACTATTTGGTGGTTTCTTACCCATTTCTTCTGTTTTTATTAAGGTCCTTAAAATTCTGGTCAGGGCAGTGACTGATGGAATGACTGATCGAAGTGGTGATGTTGCCACTGGCCTCAAAGGAAAGCTACAGGAATTATTTGGCAGGGTAACTTCGAGAGTGACCAATGATGGTGAGATCTGGCGGCTGTACGCCCAACTGTGTGGGAATGGGCAGAGTGCAAAGCCCGATGAGAATGAGAAGGTAAGCCCGAGCCTCCTAAGCCCGAGCCTTTTGCTCGAAACGTGTACACTGTCTGTTCATTTTGATGAGTGAAGGAAGAATTCAGTAATCTGAAAGACAAAGTTAATATGGTCAAAATCAGTTTTTTTAATTCTGTCTTTAACATAAGCACTTTAAATTATGGACAGGTTAAGATTTACAGTTTCTTGTTTTGAATTTTTATGAATTTTTTGGACATACTTGCTTTCTGTTTCCTGCAAAAGGATCTCTAACCTGTTACCCTTACTGGCTCTGCAGCAAGCAGCTGGCGCCTGTTCTTTACACCCTCTTCTGTAGCTCATTGCTAGCAGCTGAGGTAGACTGGGTACAAATACAGGGTGAGTCTTGAGGTCTGAAATAGGGGTTATGAACAAGAAAAAGGAAAAGGAGCTAGAGAAGACAGTTGAGGGACTTTGAAAACCTGAACATGTCATGCTTACAAAGGTCATGCTACTTCCTTTTTTTTTTTTTTTTTTTTTTGTCTTTTTATCGGTACCGGGGATCGAACTCACGACTACCTGCTTGCAAGGCAGGTGCTTATGCCGCTGAGCCAAGTCCCCAGCCTCCATCCTACTTTCAAATCCCAAAGACATCAGAACACCTGTTATGCTTCAGTTGCATCTCAGGTTTTGTCTCCCAACCTAAAGAAGCCCTCAGAATTTCCAAGGGTACAATAATTGTTTTGTGTTTCTTTTTAAAACATCCACAACAAATCAAACATACTTCTTGCATGGATTTGGAATTAGCCCTGGTACAGCTAATCTGTGGGATTTTTAGCAGTTTTCTCCACCTCTAGTCCACACAGCTGGCTTCTACCATTGCCTTGTCAGCCCAAGAACATGTTTCATGTGCACATGTGCACACACACCTTCTGTGTCCTGCTTCCATTCCTTTTTTTTTTTTTTTTTTTTTTGTCTTTTTCCTTTTTATCGGTACCGGGGCTCGAACTCGCGACTGCCTGCTTGCAAGGCAGGCGCTTATGCCGCTGAGCTAAATCCCCAGCCCCCTCCATTAATTATGTACTGTCTTTCAAATACACAACTAACAGTACTTTGAATTCTCTGATCTCTGTCTTCTCCCTTAAGAATGTGTAAGGATATGAAAGAGTGTTTCCAACTTCTATGCAGTTACACTCCTACCAGCAAGGCCTTAGTGTTCACCAAATTCATGCCTCATTCTTTTGGCTATAAATGCTGAGGAAATCTGTAGCCTTCTAATAAATGTCCAAGCTTCACCTTACGTTATTTGGTTATAAAGAGATGTCTGTCCAGATGCATCATCGATTTCTCATAATTACTTATTGCTAGTGTGTGTGTCCTACCCTCCTTTTATGAGAGTCACGGAGACTGTTTTCCAGCACAGATGCTGGGCTTTCAAGTCGGAATTGGTCCCTATGACTCCAGGAAAAAATTTGAAATGTGAATTGTACTTGTTGTTCTGAATGTTGCTCTTTCTCTTTCCTCAGGCGTTCCAGTGTCTCTCGAAGGCCTACAGGTGTGACACACAGAGCAGTAGTTGGGAGAAAGATATCACATCATTTAAGGACGTCGTTCAAAGAGCAGTAGGGCTTGCACATGGTACTTGTTATACGTGACGTATTTTACAGTATTTTTATTGATTAAAAAAGGTGTTAAAAAGTCAAGTTCCATTACAAATAATTTTAATTTGTCATAATGAAACAGTTATTTTTAGCTCAGAAGACATACACAATTACTGTGCAGCAGATAGTTTGGAGCAATAAGAAAGAAATGGCATAGAGGCTACAGTACTATTTGAGTCAACAATAGGAATTAGAAACTTTTAGAGATAAAACACCTTAGAACTTTGAATAATGTTCATATCACATAGTCTGTGTTGATTATGTAGTATTAAGGAAATCCGTTAACTTTTTCATGACTTATCATTCCTTTGTAAATAAAAATATTCATAAAAATACGTAGGCCTCCAGAGAATATGGCTATATAAAAGAGCTATGCCATATACAAAAGAAATACAAAGTACAGTGCAGTCACTATCTTTGGGAAATTTAGAGAATATAATCTGAAGAGGAATGCATTCACATACGAAATTGTTTGCCTTTTAGGTAAATACAGTCCAGATAAAGACAACTTTTAATTATTTATGTTGATTCAGTTAAATATATGTTTATATATTTGAATATGGGTATGTGTTGTCCTAGGACTACCGTTTGCCTGAAATAAGCAAGTCCCAGTGTTAAAAACTGAGTCACAAGGACTGTGAACCTATCCTAAAGTTCTCCTTTTACTTCGTTGCCTAATTTCTTCTTGCTACTAATGATGATAGCAAACAGAGCCAGCAAGGAGCAGAATCAGGGACACCAGTGCTCTAGGATCAGCTCCAGTCTGTGCCTCCTGTGTGAGCGAGTCAATTATTTAACTTCTTTAAGCCTTAATATAGTTTAGACAAAATGAGAATAATACCTACCCTTGATTATTGGGAAGAATAAATGAACTTATTTAAATACGTAATATTTTTCACATGGTTTAAATGTTAACTTCTCCCCCTCCCAACCCCATGCTTTGTCTTCTGAAGTCGAAGATTTGGAATATATGAAAAGAGACTCAAAACTGAAAAGAGAAAAGTTTCAGTTGCACATTAAGAAGGCACAGAACATTCCAGTAATTTAGAAATGGGCTTGGTGGTTAATGATTCTACTTACGGCTTTTGGTATCTTTGACCCAGCGCCACCTAGTCACTGGCAGGTGGTGGTGAAAAAGTGCTGAACTCTTATCCAGCTGAAATTCCATGTAGAACAAGTTGAGGTAGTTGCTGGTTAGTGAAGGATGTTTTAGGAGTGGCTAGAATTTGTGTGACTTGTGCCCCTTTATGGAGGGTGGGATCCGAGGGGTTCAGACCGCTTGCGTTTGGCCTTTGTGTATATAGTGTATATATGTTTGGGGAAACCCACACTAAGGTGCATAATGTACATAATCAGCAAGGTGGGATTTACTTTGAAGGATTTATCTTACTTGCTTCAATTTGTGGACTCTGAACTTTTCTGTTAAGTAGGCCTGTAACTGTCAAAGCCAGGGTGTTTTCTGCAGTCACCAAGCGCTGATATTAAACCTGTCAACTGTAAGTGTGAAGATTAAGAAAATACTTCAGGAGGACTCTTTATTTTGCACCTTAAAATTCAGTTTAAACTGTTATCAGCATCAGGTTTCCATCAGGGCAACACTTAGAGGAAAACAGGGGTCTGCTATCTAAAGCTCTCCTTAGACTTTAATGAATAAACGTGTTGGTGTTCCTGCATTTGAAGCATGCTTGAGTCAATGCTCAGTTTTGGTTTCTAATGATACTTCTGATTGGTTGATTGATTATAGTGCTGGGGATTGAACCCAGGCTTTGCATATGGTAAGCAAGTGCTTTACCCCTACACTACACCCTCAGTTCCTTTTAAAATTTTGAGACAGTCTCTCACTAAGCTGCTCAGCTGAACTGAGGCTTAGAATCTTCCTGTCTCAGTTTCCTGAGGAGCTAGAATTGGAATACGTGCCACCTGATGTTTTAGATTTATAAAGGTACATAAATCCTGACCTTGTCTTTGTTGCATTTACACAGCAACATTCAGTCAAACAGTGACCTGGGTTTTCTCTTACTGTATTCTTTTTTCCCCTAATACTGTGCCTTTGCCCCACTCAGTTCTGAAAAGGAAACAGAATGCATTTAAACTCTCCCTGTTGAATTGCTATTGGTAAGAGTAGCCATGCCCTCAGCAAGTTTGAGAATTTAATGCAGTCTCAGCATAGTATTTGAGACACCTCTTTAGCAGTACTGTCATTGTATGCCCATCTGCATTGTCTGGAGGATATTTATTTACAGTTTCTGTAATGCGATTTTCTGGGAATGGTTGGACATAAGCTCTTGTTCCTTGCCATCCTAGCACTTTGGAAATTAACTGCAGAGTGTAGAGAGGAAGTACTGTCGCTTGGATTTTCTGATGATTTGGAGCAGGTTATTTCTCTTTCCCTCTCCTTTTCCCTCTTCCTCTGTCTTTAATCCCTTTTGGCAATGGAAACGAGAGAACTACCCTAAGCGTGCGTCTTTTTGTTGTATTTTCTCAACAAAAACAAAATAGTAAGAAAAGAATCACAGCTGTTTGTGGTGTAAGCTCTAGGTATCAAGCAGCCCAAATGCCTCTACAATGGTACTTCCAACTTTCGGAGAAACAAATTTCAAAATCCTCTTTATCTCTGGGCCACCGGAGCCCTCTGAAGATGGGATTGATGTTGCTAATTACCACACACCTTTTCAACCATTTTGCCACAAAATTTCCAAGTCTAATAGTTATTCAGACATGTCCAGGGAAGATATTATTAATAATAAAACTGTTTGCCAGGCACAGGCAGCCGCTGGCAGTTGATCAGATGTTTTCCATCTGTGATCTGTGGCAGTGGTTCACATGCTGTGAGCTGTTCGTTATCATTGAAAGTTCTAAAAGGTTCACCATCACTGATGTAGGGAATAAAGAGACTTTAATTACTGCTTTGTTTAGTATAATTTTGGTGATGGGAGTATTGGGGATTGAACCCTATGCTTCATCTCTTTGGGGACTTCACACTAAACTACATCTTCAATCCTTTTTTATTTTGAGGTCTCACTAAATCACAATTTCCCAGGCAGGGCTTGACTTTGCAGTTCTCCTGCCTCAGCCTCCCAGTGTGCTGGGATTACAAGTGTGCCGCCATGCCTCGCTCTTTGGTGTACTTTAAAAATGGGATCTGGTTATTGTTCTGCTTGAATTTAGTGCAAATAATTTTAGGGAACAAAAATAAACACAGATCACTGGTTTTCATTTTTACAGAACTTTTTACTTGTTCTCATAAAATATTAATGATTGAAACGTCTACTATTATAACAACTATGGAAATCAGTATGGAGATTCTTCAAAAAACTAAAACTAGAAATTCCATTCTACCCAACTATTCCCCTTCTTAGGTGTCTTCCCAAAAGAGTTAAAGACATCATAGTACAGTGATACATGCATACTCATGTTTAGAGGAACACAATTCATAGGAGCTAAATCTTGGAAGCAGACTCTGTGTCTACCAACAGATGAATAGATAAAGAGAATGTAGTATGTAAGTGGAATATTACTCTGCCATAAAGAAAACTAAATGGGTCATCAGTAGGAAAATGTATGCATCTTAGGACCATAATAATAAGTGAAATAAATGAGATGCACAAGTTTAAATATTACATGGTTTCTCCTACATGATAAATCCAAAATATAAATTAAAGAGCTTAATGAAAGACAGATAATAAGAAACAGGAAGACAGATCTTTTCAAATGGGAAGGGGACCAAGAAATGGAGGGAGGAGAAAGAAAGGGGAGGGGAAGGGAAAAGAATTAAAATGTGTTCTGTCCAGGGCCAACTGCCCATGAGGAAGTGATGATTACATACTACCAAAATGTACTAATAAAAAAATAAAAATGGGAGGAAAAATGAGAAAAATAGTTGGGCCTTTGACTAGGGAGAAGTAAGCCTCCCTGCAATTTTAGCTTTTAGGATAATGGATTCCCTGGGAGGCTGAAGGCAGAGTTGTCTACCTCTGATGCCAGGTGTGGCTCAGGAATCCTAGTGCTGGTTCTGGTCACATTCCTTGCATGAAGGCACGCAGCTTGTGGGTACCAAGTCTTCTGGAATGGTGCTGTAAGCACTGAGTGTGCCAGTGTGTTATCCGCATGGCTGGCATGTCACTTTCCTGGCTAGTGGCATCACGTCATGGACTTGGTACCATGAAAAGCCACACTGAGGTGTGCTGCATTTGGTTTTGTTCTCTGTGGGCATCTTCTTTTCAATAAGATTTTTGTGTCTTTGCCTAACTTCATTAGTGTCTGCACATGTGTGCGCACGCATGTGTGTGAGTTTGGGGTCTCTTCCTGATGATTTGCAGCTCACCAGAGACCTCTGTTTTCCCCAGATTCTCGGTAGCAGTAACCTGCCATAAGGATAAAGCGAGGCTGGGTTGTATGTAGTTTGGTGGTAAAGCACTTGCCTAGTAAGTGTAAGACACTGCGTCTCATCCCCAGCACTGGACACAGGGAGGAAGATAAAGGAAGAATTTAGGGAATAAAAACTTTCTAGGTAGAAATGTTTCTAACGTCAGTTACTATAAAATTGTAATTAAATCGTTGGTTTTTGTAGCTATAAATTATTACTAATACTTAATGGACGTTTTCCTCATATTTATTTTGCAGTGGCGATAAAATGCAGCGAAAACACACCTAATCCTCAGGAAGCTGTGCAGGCGCTCTCTTCGGTTCGACTCAACTTACGGGGTTTATTATCTAAGGCGAAGGTGAGAGCGACGTGAATTAAATAAAACGTTCAGGACAGGTTTTTAGTGCCCACAAACCTGCTGCTCTTGAGCCTTCTGTTTTCATCAGGGATAATTTTAGGCCCACATTATATTTTATATAACACCCTTCATGTGGTGGTTGTGCTGATGAGGGTGTTATTGCCCTATGGTTAAATTGTCCTAAACATGAGTCATTTAGGAGCCTTGGCACTTAATGTTGTAAACAGTGCTCTTCTATTTATTACTGTTTTTCCCAGTGTTTGACATATATGCCACCATTGGCACTTGAGAAAACTTTCGATTTTAAAATGTATTTATTTCAGTACATATTAGAAAAAGTATAATCAGCCCATCAAACCTACAATTTCGTGAATACTGTTGCTTGTTGCTCATCAACAATGATAATACAGTGTTTTCTTTTATGTAAGTAAAAAATGATTAAGATAAGATCTTAAGTAGGTGACATGAATTTGGCAACAATGCTCCGGTTGACTCGGGTTTGACAGCTGACATCCCCCAGGTGCTCAGGTAACGTCCTGTGGACGGTGCTGGCTGGGGGCAGCGTATTCACCCTGCAGCAGCCTCAAGACTGGATTCTTGGCCTTTGTTGTGACGAATGTGGCTTCAGATCTTGAGTGGAATTTAGGGAACCTGTTAGTTCAGGTAGTTGGATTTGGGTTATACTGCTGGTAGAAGAATTTGACGACGACTGTTACTTACAGCACAATTTAATACTTTCTTTTTACTTTCATCATTTAGTCCTGGATTGCAAATTAATTTTAATTCGCTTTTAAGAAAAAGTCTGTAACACGAGTCACTTCTAGACACCTTTTTATTCTATAAAAAGTTGCCATAAAATGTCATTTTTGTTAATTGTTTGATCTTTACAGATTAAGGCATCATTTTTCCTCTGTAGATAATTAGTTTTCCTTTCCATTCTTGTTTACCTGGACTGTATTTCCACCCAGCTTGATAACACAACTGTAGAATTACGTGTATCAGAAGTGTGCAAGAATTTTTTTTGAGACAGGGCCTCACTGTGTACTTCAAGCTGGCCTTGAACTCACTTTGTAGCCTAGGTTGGCCTTGACCTCTGAGCAGTCTTCCTGCTTCAGTCTCCAAAGTGGTGGGATGATAGGCATGCACCACCATGCCTGGCAAGAACTTTTTTTCTAGAAAGTGAAATCAGGAAGCTTTTTCTGTGTCTTTCCTTTCCAACTTGGGAGCTATGTTTCCTACTTTTGATTCAATCACAAAGCCACCCACAGTTGTTTATCTCTGCAGATATAATTCTCCAATTTCCTTAAATGTCTGCAAAGATTTTATTCTGTTATTATTTTCAGGTAAATGTGCACTTGTTTTATTTAAATAGTATTGTCTGTACCAGTATTGCACTCCTTCTTTTCTTTAGTAGATTCTGAAATATTAAAAATGATGGACATCATCAGAACATCACATATTTAGATTTTGTCCTCATTAAATCCTAACTGGATCATCAAAAAAAGGGTAGGGTGGGGTGGGGAATTTGCCTCCTAATGCAAAGCATCTTTTTGTAAATATTTTGGAAACTTTGGTTTTTAAGTAGATCATATACCTTTTATGTTTTTTGTATTAAATTTGCTAAACTGAATTACACTTCAAAAACTACTTTTAAAGAATAGTTTTAAAAAAGAAAATGAATTGAAATAACTGTTAAATAGCTTGCAGTAGGCTTGGTTTGCACGAATCTCTGGTATTTTCTTTCTGGGCCAAGAACTTCATGGAAATAAACTCATAGAACTAGTTTTCCCTGTTAAAGAAAAGCTTTATTAACAAGCATACATAAACCTTAAAGCTCTAAGAAATTTAAATAGACAAGCAATGCAGTCTGTGCTGTCCCAGGGCAGAGAGACTCCTCTGCCCTTAGTTAGCACCCTTTCATTGTATGAGTTTAGTGGCAAGAGGGGCTGTGAGGGCTTTGGGTGGAGGCCAGGGAGCCTGGAGACAAAACCCTGGACAGAGCTCATGAGCAGGTTTACTCCTTACACTCAGTGAATTGTTCATTCTTTCTAAGCCTCAGTTTCCTTCTGCTTCCTTTTTTCTTCATAAGGAAGGGATGCAGATTCACTGGATTTCGCAAGCACTGTCCATATTGGTTTAAAAATATACTATATGAGTTAAGGTTATTTTCCTAAAAGGTGTTTTCTCTACTGATCACATTGCAATGGGTCTTATTGTTATGCTTATCATCTAGTGAAGTCTGCAGCAGAAGACATACGGAAAGCTACATAAATTATGTAATTATGTTTCTCACTAAAACACACACACAAAATATGGTCATAAAATCTTGAAGCTGATTTTCTTGGGTACTATATTGGCTCAGAAAGCAGTTCCTAGAAAGGCTTTCCAAAATGGTTTCAGGTATGGTTAGTATTACTGAAGTATAATAATACATATATTTTATTTTATTTTGTGAAGGTTTTTACTTTTCCTAAATTGATAATCTTTGTAGTTGTTGAAGCTTATATAAAAATTACTTTTCCTAAATTGATAATCTTTGTAGTTGTTGAAGCTTATATAAAAATTAATTTTCAAATAAGGAAGAAAAAGTATGATTTATATGAATTAAAATATAAAAATATTTGTTTTGTTTGTAAACACAATAGATTTTTGTTTGAATGAGTATCGTGTTCATCCAAAATCCATTGAATAGCATTGAAATGAATAACCCAATATTTAAGCAACTGTTTGCAGAACAGAGCTAATTTCAATTTACAGGTTCAAACATGTTTTGATTCATTCAGCTTGTACATTTTTGTGAGGTGAGCAAACAAATACTGTTATTATACTATTATATTATTATGAAAAGGGCATTTTAATTCTGTTCTCTTTTATTTTAAAGGAACTTTCATTGTTTTAATGCTTATCCTTTGTTTCCAATGTTACAGCAACATTTTACAGATGTGACAAGTGGGGAAATTTCCAGTGAGTTAGCAGATGACATATCAACTATGGATGCCTTGGTAACAGAACTTCAAGACCTAAGCAACCAGTTTCGAAATCGTTATTGACCACACTAGGAATGGTTTCTGGAAAAAGTAGTTTCATCTTCTGGAATTTCTCTTATACCTGTATATGTGAAACACAAGATACTGTGTTTTTAAAATAAATTTGTTTCATGGATAACATTCTTGTTTTTGTGAGACTCTCAAATGTTTGCACTTCTTGAGGAACATTAAGTTAAAAGATCCATATTTCTTTAAGCCTAGTTATGGTTAATTCAGTATTTATATTGTTCTTGAGGTATTTCAGCACAAAGGATAAAGTATGAGTTTTCTTTTTAGCATAGAGTTTATTCTCTCTCAGCCTAACATAAATTGGATCATTCTTTGGAAAAACTTAGTCTTAACAGGGGGAAAAAAATCGTATATTACATGTTGGTAGAATCATTAGATTTGCTGTTTTATTGTCCAAGGATGATAAAAGAATGGATTTGGAGATGGAAACTCCAAATAACTTACACTTATTGAAATTTTGTGTTTGTGTCAGAAAGATACAAACTTGGCTAAATTGGAAGTATGACTGTGATTTAACTTCTAAATCAAGAAGATGCAAGAAAAAATATGACATAACCCAAATTGTGACTCAACTGTTAGCCACTAGTAACCAGTCTGCTACCTCCTCATGGCGTATACTGCCAGCCCTGAAGTTGTTTAATAAGGTTATTATGGGTGATTGAAGCTATAAATGGTGCCATATTACAAAAATGCCAAAATAAAATGCTTTCTTAGTAATGTCTATGGGAACAAATATTGGAGTCAGCAGCTGAGCTTAATAATCTTAGTATAAAAGTCACAGAGAAGAATTCGGTTATTGGCTTGGGTTGCTAAATCTTGGGTCCCATGTATAAATCACTTGACCCTTGTTTTTTTCCATGTGAATAATTCTGACTTGTAGTATCCTTGTGAGTTTCAACTGCATTTGGAAATTTAACATTTCATAATCCATAAATATAAAGCACTCTAAACATTTGAAAGATCTTCTAAAAATTCTTTCTTTAATAAATTTTGCTTATGAATGTTTTCCAGTGCTTTGTGCTCTGATCCCTTAACCATTTGCTTGTCTTTTCTATTATCATACTGAATTTAAGAAATGTTTATCTATGCCTGCAAATAGTTTCTCCTATAAAAAGGTAATACTTGTGATAAAGTCCAATAAAATCAGACAGTAGCAGGTGTTAACATTTAGGGTCTATTTAAATCTTTTATGGAATCCATTGAGAAAAAGGTCTGTGAATGAGTGATGGGCGAATGTACAGATGGATGACTGGATGGACAGATGTAAGAAACTTTTGTCTATTTGTTTTCTGAGTCAAGGTCTTATTATGTAGACCATGCTGGCCATGAACTTGGTTCTCCTGCTTCCGTCTCCTGAGTGCTAGGATTATAGGCATGCACCACCATGCCCAGGCCTGGAGAAAGTATTAAAATGAACTTCATCAGTACCAAACTGAGTAGAAAGAAACCAGTGAACAGGTACAAGGATTTCAGCAATCAAGTGGAAAACAAATGTAGCTTCAAAGTTTTGAGAATTCTGGGAAGATGGTAGAGTGAGCAGCAGAGAAAGAGCTTCTTGAGGAGTTGGAATCCAGACTGGAATACAGCGACATGAGGAAGAGGAGGAGGGAAGTGAGGCCCTGTGATCCAGGCAAGATCTGCAGTGAGAAGCCCAGGGAGAGAACACAGAGACTGAAGAAGGTGGCAGGCAGCACTTGCTGCACGGGAGGAGCAGCTTGAACCCACAGAGCCATAGGACCCCAGAGGCTTCCGCGGATAAACACCAGTGAAATGGGGGCGTGGACGGAGCAGACTGCAGTGATTGGTGAGGTATTCAGGTTCAGCTGTCCACCAGGAGAAGGCAGTGGCAGATAGCCATCTTTGAGGGGCCCAGCTAAGCTCTAAAGCTCAGAGCAGCTGCTGGCCAGCCTGTCCTAGTGGCTCCCAGTGTCAGTGTGAAGCTGCTGGGTTCCCGGTAACAACAGTTCAGGGCCACATTCAAGTCAGCAGGAGGCGCATGTACTGTTGGAAGCTGGAAAAGTCCAGTTCCAGCATCACAGCCAGAAACTTCAGTGGAACTAAGATGCAGACTTGCTGGAATTAACCATTACTCCGTCACAGACCTGTGGCCGGCTTGCTGGGATTAACCAACTCGGACTTGGACTCTGCCCATACTGTGTATTGCCTTGAAGTGGACATTTTCTTATTTTCTTTTTCCTCTTTTTTTTCTAATTCTTGTTTTTATGAGTATGAACACAATTTCTAGTTCTTTTGTTGTTGTTTGGTTTTGTTCTTATTTTTATTTCTTACTTTTCTCTTTCCCTCGTGTCTTCACTAGTTTCCCAGTTTGCCTGATCCTCCCTTGTCCTCCCGCGCTGTTCTAATCTCTTCTTCTTCTGTTTCTCTGTTCCTCCTCCAACCCTTTTAAATTTTTTCCCCTGAGAGTAAAATTGCCACTTTGAGGGACTTTGAGGGTGTGATTACTGCATATAACTTTTTAGTTCATTTTAGATTTTATTATATAAACATAAATCTAGTTCATATGGTTAAAGGTGGTAAATTAATAGTTTGTCATTTTCTAGATTGCCTTTGATGCTGTTGTTATTGCTAATTGTGCTGCTTTAGCAAAGGTGACATAATTGTTTTAATTGGTTGTTCTTCCTGCTATACCTAGACTGAGATTGCCTAAGAGTCATAAAAAATATAGGCCAGTGGTGGAACTTAGGCAGTTTATTTGCCGGCCTTCTTGGTAAGTGCCCTGGTGTGGGCCAGGAGGAGAACCAGCAGCTCTTGTGAGCCTACCACCGTGCAAGCTGAGGAACACACACACACACACACACACACACACCCATAGCAATTGGGGATAGATGTCTCAGCATCTCTTAGGAGGATGACCATATGCCATGTAGCAAATATGGGGGATTTCCTTCTATCTTCTGTTTGAAGGCAAAGGTTGTTTTCACTGTTTTGTTTTGTTATGTTTATTTTGCTCTATTCAATCCTCTCTTTCAATTGGCTTTATAATATTCTGTTTTTGGTTTGATTTCACTGTACCTAATTGGACAACTATTGTGAAGATAACGAGATGTACTATAGTTCCTATTACTACTATCCCAGTATCCTGCTGTGAAGTTCTGTACCAGTTTCACTGCATTGTCTCAATTAGCTTGTTCTATTGTATTTTTACTACCTTCAAAATATAATTTAAAAAAAAATATATATATATATAGGCCAGTGCCAGGTTGGGACAAGTAGACAGCAACTTCTCATCCCCAACAAATTGATGAGGTAGTATCTTGCAGCAGACTCAAAATGCAAAAGCAAAATGTAGATACACCTGAAAGACACCTTTGAGACATTTCCTAAGGGTTCTAAATACTAGCAATAAAGCTACTTGCCGTAAGCAATTTACAAACTACAACCCAGGAATTAAACTAAGAAAAGGAGGGGGAAGGGAGGGGACTTAAACAAGATGCAACCCCAGACTTCCAATTCACCAAAGGCAAACCCAGAGGGCAACAAGACAGAATAATCCAGAAGCCACCCACCTGGACTCTATGAAGTAATAACAGCAGAAGTTACAAAGCAGATGAATGAGGCTGTAGAAAAAAAATCAAATCAGCAATAATTTCTCAAACAACTACAGAGATGGTGACCATAATGAAAGATATGCCTAGTGACTCTAGAGTAAAGTATAAATAGAGAAGCTTAGAAAATGATGGAAATCATGAATGCCCAACATAGGAAAGAAATATAATCCATTAAACAGATTCAAACATATCCAAGAGATTAAAAATTCCATCAAAAGTATACACAGCAGAATAAGTCATTGTAAGGACAGAATATCATAAAGAAGACAGGATTGTGGATAGTGACTATAAGAAGAAATGTTTCTTAAAAATATCAAGAGACCATGAGAAATCAGTCCAGCAGCTGCTAGATGATGCAAACAAGAATAACATAAGATTGCGTGGAGTCAATTTTTAAAAAGCAAACAATAGCACAAATGACACATAAAAAGCCCTGTGCACGGAAGTAGTGGCAGAAAATTTACGAAGCAGAAAAAACAGAATATGATGTTCAGATAAATGAGGCATATAGAACTCCAAGGAGTCAGAACCAAACTTTTGTAAATTTTTAGTTTAGTTTGCTTTCAGTTGGGTTCACAGTGAAAGTTATCAGTAATTATAGCAAGTGTTTCCTCTGAGTCCTTTCAGTCTACCGTGATGGTCAAAGTTTCAGGGGGCTTTTTTGGGGGGGCAGGGAAGGTGGAGGTTATCAAACCCAAGATAAATCCTCGTCACTTTCTCATTTTTAAAATTGAGACAATCTTCCTAAGTCACTAAGTTTCCTATCCTGGGCTCAGATTTGAAATCTTTTTGCCTCGGCCTCCCACAGTGCTAGGATTACCAGTCTGCACCACCACATTCAACTTCCTGGTACCCTCTTAACTGTGGGAGCTTCTCACAAAATACAACTGTCCACGTCTTCTTTTAAAGGACCTAGAGCTATTAGTTATATTTAACAATATTATATGAATGTTTAAAATTGAAGAAAATATGTGCAGAGGAAAAGGAAGAAATAGTAGATATGTGGGGTTTTACAATCAAAACCTCAGCTCTGCCGCCTGTGCATGCTTCTGAGCTACTAGGCTTCTTCATCTTAAAATGGGTGTGGTGATAGTGGTACCTCCCTGGGTACCACTTCAGATCTCTCACACTACTTTCTCCCAGCCTCAGAGTTAGTGATGTGTATCTGTTTAAACAGCTTTTTATAACGTATATAAGGTTTTGGTGCTTTGGGTCATTCTGTTATGGCTGTTTGTATTTCCAAAAGACTTGCCTTTTATAAGTTTCACCTTTGGTTTTCTAGTATTAATACATTCAACATTATTCCATCACATTGTCAATTAGAAAAGAAAAAGGAAAGATGTGATCCTTTAACTTTATTGTGTTCCCACAACATGAGTAGTAATCATAACAATAGCTACAAATTATTGAGTTCTGATTTTGTGTCAGGCATTGCACGTAGCATTATATTTTAACCTCAGAAGAACCTTACTAGCCAGGCATGGTGGCACATGCTTGTAATCCCAGCACTTGCGAGGCTGTGACAGGACAATCACTGTGA